AAAAAGAATTGACTTCCTTCTTCCAGTTGGGGACAGGATGCCCAACTTTGCTCTGGAGGAACTGGGTAAGACATGAAATCGGATCAGAATTCACGTAAGAATTTCTTTGTTTTTTTTTTGCGATTCCTTTCTCACTCTGTGTTTTTGTCTACAGGAGCAAAGATTGTTAAAGAACAGTCTTCAGCATCCTACCTTTCAGAACAGGCTGGATTGAAGCTGTGGGGGTTTACATTGATACCCGCAAAACCACCCTGTGTAAGCCCAAGAGTCGTTATTCAGGTATAATCTACTTTCACAAAAAAACAAGATACTATCTCACACATCTGCATGATTTAATAGTCAAACACTAGCGGTCCAAACTGAACTCTGTTTTTGTTTCTTTTTCTCTGTAGGGTCGAGCACCCATGGTCCCAGGAGTGTGTTGGAGTTTTGCGGGCTCCCAGGGACATTTAACCATTAAGCTGCCACACAGCATCGCCATCAGTCATGTGACACTGGGTCACATTTCTAAGATGATGTCACCATCTGGAAAGGTCTCCAGTGCTCCCAGGACGTTTTCAGTGTTTGTAAGTCACAGATTTCCACTGCACCACTGTTCAACTGTTGCATTTTACATATGTGTATATAGAGAACAACTTTATCTGTATTTATTTCTGTCTTTTCAGGGAAAGAGAGCATTAGACGACAGTGGTGTCCACCTGGGAACATTCGTCTATGATGAAAATGGAGATCCACTCCAAACATTCAGGATACCCGTGAGTACTCTGTGCCATTAGACACATGCACATAGACTTTTCTATCCAGAGTACTTAGAGGTTAGCTCCCCTTGCTATCTGTATATCCTCCCTCATAATAATCACAGTATTCCTAAATTTACCATCCTTTCAAGAGTTAAGAAAACTATTATGCAACTAACCCATCTTGTTTTTGTTTTGTCTCTCAGGACGACAAAGTAGATGTCATCCGCTCCATTACGCTGCATGTGTTGAACAACTGGGGCAATCGTGAGTATTCCTGTTTGTAGAAGTTCCGAGTTCATGGAAAGCTGGCATAACTAGCTTCCCATGAACTCCATCTATAAAAGAAAAGAGAGGAAAAATGTGAAAGTGAATCAGACTGCAACACTTATTTAAATAATTGTATTTGAAAAAAATTGTCAATTTAACCCATGTTTTTTTCTCCAGCGAACGTCCATCCTACCAGGTAAGCCATGTCTGATTAAGATGTTTGCAGTCTGATTCACCTCACCCCCAACCAGCCGTGGCAGAGGGCTTGCCCCTCCCTGAGCCTGGCTCTGCCAGAGGTTTCTTCCTGTTAAAAGGGAGTTTTTCCTCTCCACTGTTGCCTAGTGCTTGCTCAAAGGGGATCATCTGATTGTTGGGGTTTTTCTTCTCTTATATTGTAGGGTTTTTACTCTACATATACAGTGCTTAACAAATTTATTACATCACCTGTAATAGAAATAACAACACCCCACATTTCTTAAAATAAAGAAGACATTGCAGGCTCTTTAACAGATCCGCGAACCGGGTCCGGATCGGAGTCCACTTGCACAGCGAGTCTGGAACTTGATTTGGATCCGGTCGTTTCCCAGATCATCCGACCAAGATCCGCTGTTGATTATAAGCTAGAATGATGCCCGCTAATGTTTGGCTCGAGTGTCCTAACGGCTATTACGGCAGCCAAGGAGAGCCCTTAATCTCCTACAAGGAGACTTTATACAGGTTAGTGCTGGCCTACATGTTCTTTGTTGTCATCCACTGACATAGATGCATGTTTTGTAATCATAATCCATTTGTTCTTCCATGTACATTTTTTCTTACATGATTTTGTTTTTTCTGTTCTGAGTTTTTAAAAGGCGACGGCCCCGTCCCCGTCCAGTCCCTGACAATATTGACCGAGACACAGTTGAATACAACACTGTGGACTACAATAACAATGATTTTGTTGACTACAGTAGTGGCAGCAGCAGAGGTCTCTTTAGAGCCATCAAGGCATTGGGACTTTTGGTCCTCATGCTGGCCTTGTGTTTTGGTAAATGATCTCCTTCCACAAACAATTACAGTCTTTCTAGTACTATGTGCTTTTCTTCTGGATTAAGCTTCTCTTCTTATTCTGTGTTTCTCTTCATCCACCAGGATTGATTTTCAGTATTGGAGGGCAGAAAATGGACTTTTCCACCCCGTTCATGAGTGAGGTATGAAAATCATATGAAGCTCATAATATATTCCCTGAAAATTACTCAGATAATGCCGGTTTATTATATATTATTATTAAATAGACTTTTCAATCCAGAGTACTTCAAGATTAGCACCCGCTGCTATCTGTATATCCTCCCTCATAGTAATCACAGTATTCCTAAATTTACCATCCTTTCAAGAGTTAAAAAATTTTTGTCCAACTAACCCATCTTGGTTTTTTTTGTCTCTCAGGACCACAAAGTAGATGTCATCCACTCCGTCACACTGCATGTGTTGAACAGCTGGGGCAATTATAATCTGTTGTTGTTGTTGTTGTTGACTGAAATAAAAATTTCAATTCAACTCAAATTCAATCGCGAGTATTCTTGTCTGTACAGCTTCCGAGTTCATTCTTTATGTATAAAAGAAAAGAGAGGAAAAATATGAAAGTGAATCAGACTCCAAAACATATTTAAATAATTGTATTAGATACAAAACATCCGGAAGCATAAACACAAATAACCACACACACAGAGACGGGGGAAGCAGAGAAAACAACAAAACACTAAACATGGAAAATAAACATATTTATAATGACCTCCCGAGGAGGACGACCCATGAGGATCGCCAGCCCGAGGTAAGTACAAAAAGACATAAGTCCTGGGTCCCCAGATCCAGGCCATGATATAAAGTGGTCAGTGTAACTGTTCTCCCAGGCAGTATTATAAAGGGTAGTATCCAGGCATCCATGAAAAAGAAGATTTATAAGGTTGAGGTGAGTTAGAAGTAAGCTAGCCAGCTGACATGATATATTTTGTACCGGCTAATGTATTTAATAAAACGCACATACAACACTGCTAAAACAGTGGAAGTAAACAAAATTGAAAATCTCCATAACAGAGTTTTTTGGAGAGTTAGTTATGTTAGCCTAGTTGAGATTATCTATCTGCTGGGTGACTAGCTACAGTGGTGCCAGTACACACAGCAGCACTGCAAGTGTTTGTTAGAATGTTTAGGGTAAGCATTAACTTTCTTTCAATGTACGTGCATGTTGAGGGTCAGTCAGTGAGGTTCAGATCCTGTGAGTGCCTGATTGGCAAAGATAAGTGCCATCATATGGCTGCATTGTTGATTTGGGTGGAGAAGAATGTGTATCGCACTGATGTGGAATGTGTATAGAAGAGCGTGAAATTATCCAAAGCAGAAGAAATTACTGCCAAGAGAGTGTCTGACATGACACCATCAACAACACAAGGTCAGTTATTCATTTAAAATTCACTCTTTGTTCTAATTATTCTCTTAATTTTACTTAAAGCATTGTGTTTAATATTGAGACACACATGTAGTGTACATCAAAAAATTAAAAATGTTCTTTAAGTGAAGAGTCCTATATAAATGCTCGATAGTATCTGATCTTAAAATTACTACTTGTTAAAAGTATTTTTTGTTTTATTTTATTTCAGCTGGAATCGAAAGACCTGTCACCCAGGAGGACAAAGAATGGGCAGTGGCACCTCTCTCAAAACTTCAGCGTTTTACAGGGATGGGGTGGATTTTGAGTCCAGAAGGCCCTCAGGGAATTTGATATTTACTTTAACACATGGTATAAATTATACATTTATGTAAACACCTGTAAACTACAGATCATAGTGTTTGCCTCCACTGTCCCCACTTTAATTTTATATGTATTTTGTGTACTCTACACCCGACTTTGTCTACTCTGTGGTCAAGTTTGCTTGGTCCCATTAAAACCTTTAAAATCCTTTTGCTTTAAATCTAGACTCTACCAACAAAGACATTTGATGGAGTGCTAAGGAACCTGCGATTTGCCCAAGCAGAAGACAAGGCTAATTATTTACTGGCATCACTGGCTGTGTCTAAGGAAGAGGAGAAACAGGTCAAGGAAGCAACAGTTGGGCAAATGAAGAATGCATTGAAATAAGAAAGTGCCTTGAAATTAAGTCTGTTAGGTGTTAAGCAAGAAATTTTAGTTAACTGTGTCTCTTAATTTGTCTTTGCTTATAAAAGTTCAGTATATCACAAGAGGAGAATTGCAGCCAGCAACTTCGGTTTGGTCCTGGGTGCAGTCCAGCGGTGCTCATACCCTCCTTTCTTATTTAAGACTCTGCTTGGCCAGTGCAACCTGACAGAAGGATCTAATGTAAGCTGTTAGTAAATAGGGTCTGTGCTTCTGTAGCTGAGATATAATGTACTGAGTGAGTCACAGTGAACATTCTCAAAAATGCATTGTATATAATTTATTTTTTATTATGTGAATTTTTAATTTTTTTTGTAATATTAAGGTTCCACATGTCACTGTTGTAGTGGGGCTTTATTCAGTGAGACACCGCATGTAGACTGGGGCTCTGGCCCTGTCTCAATGGCTGTGTCCCATTTGAGGGTCTGCACGCTTGAAGTACGCGCACTACGCGTACTACGTACGGTGCGTACTATAAGTACGAGAAGTGCAGAAGTGAGAGGCGTGTGAAATGGGACGGTATATGCTTCGTC